CTATAATTTGTATGAGGACTAGAATCAGTCAAAAAAATGGTTGAAAGTCTATAGTCTAAATCCCTGATGATTTTACCTTTCTGCTTATTCTCTGAATATCCTTGGGCACAGGCTATAGGAAACTTCATTGGAAAAATGGCTATTATCCAGAGGTGAGGCCATAACAGTGGTTTTTAGCCAGAGGCATTATTTTTCCACTAGGAGATGATTAAACAATTGTGGGGATTTTTTTTTGGTTGCTCCAATGACTGTGGAATACTATTTATAGTTAGTGGACAGGAATGGGAGGCAAAACCTCTCAGAATACATGAAGAGTTGTCCTATCAGAAATGACAAGAGTTCTCTTATCATGTTACCATTTGTTGTAGTCTACCAGTTCTATTAATCAAACTGGGCTATAATTTTTTTTTTCACTAACTTCTACAACCTTGAGAACCCTGAACTTTACAGAACCTTCAGCTTGCTTTCTTCTAAGACTCATGACCCAAGAGGACTTTCTGGCTATAACTAGACATTCACAGACCTACCACAGAGATCAAACCAGCCTTGCTTCTGATTCTTCCCATGATGGCTAAGGAAAACACCCAGGAAGACACAGGCTCACATCCATCTTCCTCAGAAATGCTAATATAGAGTTTATTTATCTAACTAATCAGCCCTAGTTCCAGTTTCCTATCTGCTCTGACTGAAGGACTACTCCAAAAGTGGGGTAGAGAAGAAAAGCTCCAGTAGGACAGGCAGCAGGAAAAGTCACTGCCATCTGTGAGGAAAAGAATGTATCAGAGGCTCTGAAGACTGTGGCTCAAAGAGTATAAAGAAATTTTCTTCATAGGATAGAGATCAGAATGGATTCAGATATAAATGTCAATACTTCCTTAAGCTAAATTATTCTGGGAACTGAGAACAGTGAGGAATAGTTAGTTGTAGCATCAAGATCTAGTTTTACGTCAAAAAATCATAACAGCAACACATTTGATCCAATTGCAGTACCTGTGCCAAATTTTCCTGCCAATAACTTTAAGATTTCAATAACTTTAGGATTTCTATAGGGTAGTCGAGAGGGGGCTATTGTAAAGAAAGGGAGGTGATTATCAATAGTTCCTAACTCCCCATAATATGGTTTCCATGATAATGTTATCTTTTTCCCACTTTGCATTTCTTTCTTTCTTCTACAATTCAAGAAGTTCGAATTAGTGAATACCTCTCTAATTGCAGATTGTTTTTGTTCTATATTATGTATCAGCTCCAAGAAGAGACAGTGAGTCTCGTGGAACGCATATGTGTTCTGGAATTCCAAAGCCAATGTTAAAATAAGATCTAATTTTAAGAAGGTGAAGCAGAAGAATATGAGGGAGAGGGAAATGGAAATATATCTAATGACTTTACATTGCATTTTTTTAAGTTAAACATAGTTGCAGTAAGATATATATAGATGAACATTTTTCTTTTCCTTAACAATTGTCTATTATCCCTTCTTAAAGGAATTTCTGATGTTACATTTTGATTTTTATCCAAATAAGTGCACTAAAAACCCTTTAAAATAATAATAATATTAAAAAAGACACAGTTCCAGTTGAAAAACACCATGAGAACATGGTTTAATCTGCCCTTGGCCCTCTTCCCTTGCCTTTTCTTCCCATATTCACCCTGAAACTTCTTTAACTTTAAATTTACTATCAGATTCAACCTGCCAAATATCCTCACCGAGTTCACCAAGTTCCAGAACAATGCTTACATTTGAACGAAGTTGATCAAAACGGTATGGGCAAATAAGCTGCAGACAGCACTGCTCAGCTCTGGAGCTTGAATTGTGAGGACTCTAATTGCGTAATTCTACCTACAGGCATATTTTCTGTACAGACACCAGAGCAGGGCCCGCCAATCAGCACAGGAAACCCAGCATGAGCCAGATGGGTTCCCAGAAATGTGGCACATGAGCTTCTTAACCAGATTTTCCTGGAGATCAAAGCTATTTCAAGATGGTTCAGGAAATGGATGTGGTTTTGGTGACAAATTGTATAATTTAAAATCCTTGGCTAAAAAGTCGGCAAAAGTTCTGTGGAAGAAAAGAGAGACAGATTTGCTGACATTTCAACTCATTATTTAATTTATAATGGTTAAGGCAGGTGGATCACTCCTAAGAACAAAGTTAGCCCCAGATAGACTAAAATTCGGTACTCTTTTTCTCCTGCAATCTTTGATGCTTATTTAAAAAATATAAAATAATAAAACAAAACAGAAATGTTTGTGTGATCCACAAGGGATATCACAGAACCTCCATCTCTGGACATTCCAGCCAAGGAGCAGCAAACTTTTTCCATACAGGGCTAGATAGTAAATGCCTTAGTTTTGTAGGCCTTATATAGTCTTATCACATATGTCACATATCCTTATTTGTTGGCTTTTTTTTAACAACCATTTAAAATGTAAAAACCATTCTTAGCTTAGATGTACAAAAACAAGCCATGGATCATATGTAGTCCACAGGCTTTATTTTGCCAACCCTGTTCCAGATAAACAGGTGGACAAACTCTTTGTGAACACTACTTATTGGAACATAAAATAAAAACCCACCCTACCTTCCCTGCTACCTCTACAGCTGATGGAATTGACACTGAAGAAAATGTAAAATTCTCAGATTTTAAATCATAAAATCATTAATGGACACTTTAATACCTGACAAAACAACAACTTTGTCTTAGTAAAAAAGTGTTTGTATTCAATCTCCTGAACTGCAAACTCAACCTTGTGACCTAAAGCAAATTCCTTATCTCTGATTTCATTACAAAAAAAAAAAAATAGACATTTACATTAAATCATCTCCAAAGAGGCTTCAGGCCTTGATTTTCTAAGATTCCATGAATGGCCCCAGAAAGCTCCAAAAGGCTGTTATGGAGATGTCCCAAATGGATTTTTACTGTATTAAAAAACCTCAGTGGGATGACTGTCACCTTATTTGATGGCCTCCAGAGAAACTTCATTTTTTGCATTTCCCATCATGGAAACAACATTCCAATGATTTTAGCTGAATGTATAGTTAGGAAAAAACAGACAACAGATTTATGAGATGAGCTCATTCTCAGAAAACAAGGCATGGACTTTTCATTGGTTATCTTAGGATGCAATCAGACACTACAGCCTAGAAATCAAAATCATGAGAAATTTTTATGATTCCAGAAACTTTATAACTGTACTGTATTTCCTATTTTTGTGATTCCAAGTACAATTAGCAATATAGTCAATTATAACACCTCTTTTTGATCCTTACTTTTATACCACTAAGATTTTTAAGCAGAAATAGATTCGGCTAAGCCAAGTTGCACAGCAATGCTTTATGAGTAGCATCATTTTCTTCAAATTGAAAAGAATGTTTACTTTTTTCTCTTCCATCAGTAAAACACAGTCAATGGTAAAAGCATATACTTTCATTGACGTACGAGACATACATTTGGAATTGAACCCAAGTGCCTGGGACTCATGCTAAGTAAGATCAATACGATATTTCCTATCCTGCACATTCAGAAATAGTTGGTCCTGTTCAGATTTCTGTACTCAAGCTCCCTAAAGATAAATGAGCATTATGCCACAGAAAGGAAATAAGTCATTTATCTGACATCACATTATTTACTGACATTAAAAATGATAATATCCATTAACAAGCAGTCAAACCCCAAGTGGGTCACACTAAGTACAAGACTACAACTGTCTTTCTTTGATATAGTTATAGGGAGATGCTGACTGAGGTGCCACTGAGTTCCAGTAATGTTGCTATTGTCACAAGAGGTTCACATTTTAATATTATTTACATAATTTTCCATGTGTTTATTTGGGACCAGAAAACTGTCTTTTGGACTTTTGTGAACTTTTTATCAAACTAAAACCTAGAAATATAATGACAGAACAATGGACACACTTGCTTTGGAGTGGGGGGAGAGAGATTTCATTTTAAAAATAAGTATCTTTCTCTTTAATTTTTTAAAAAAAGTATCATTATCCATAATCTTTGTAACAACCAGGCAAGGCAGATATTCTCTGCATTTTCAACATACATTTTCTAATGTCCCAACATGAAGTTCAGAGAGGTTTGCTAAGCAAATTGCTCAGATTCAGAAGGCTAGTAAACGGTAAATTCAGGATTGGAACCCACTGGTTTGTCTGAAGCTGCCAGCAATCTTTCCCCTTCTCTCTTTCTCTATCCCTCCTCGCCCTCCCTCCTTTTCCTGGCTCCCTACCCTCATTCAGCCAGCTACCCAGTGCCTATCTACCTACATGTAGCTACTTGCATACCTACATAGCTACCTACATACCTACATAGCTACCTACCTTCCTGCACAAACAGCAACATTGTTTTTCTTGAAAGAATCATCCTGCAACAATTCAATTTACTTCTATCCCAAAGTAAACATCACAACACTGAGTCCCTGAACAAAAACTTCAGGACATGCAAACTATACTTGCAGGGCTGACTAACATTTTGAGTTATTAGCTTGAACTCAAGAAAAACCACACGAGATTGACTGATTGGCAGAAGTGACCTGTCAACCGGGGTTATTTGGAGGTAAAAGTCAAAGAATGGTGTATAAAGACTGTAAATTTAATTACTGAAGAATACTTTTTACACCCAAAAAAAATAAGTTCTGTGAAACTTGAACTAAAGCTCAGCCTTAAGAACAAAGCATGTCGGGTCTGATTTACCTCCCATTGCATTCAGAGTAGAATCAACAACAGCTCCTCTTAGGGCTAAATTTTCTAAGGCATGGACTCCAGTCCTATCTCATTCTCCTTCATCTTCCTCTGTTCTGTTAAGAGACAAGGCAGGAAAGCTGGCTGGACACCTACACCCTGGCCTAATCTGTGCCCCTTCTGACCCTGATCATTTGTTTCATACATTTCACTTGGACTGTGTTGGGCTGTGTCTTTCTAATGCCAGAATAGCCTGGTAGGAAAAGAAAATTTGTAACACGACAATGTATTTGCCAAGATGACTCCAAAAAACTGATTTCATGAGTTTTATTTGTTTGTTTCCCAGAACTGTCCAAACTGACGATGGTGTAGACATTTTTGAGGTGAAAAAAGACGACTGGCTTCAGCACATGACCAGCATCTCATTTCCGACTGGCAAATGGATCCTGTCTCCTCAGCCACAGTCTGGCCAGGATGAATTACACATATAATTCAACATCAAGGAAACTGCTCAAGTACAACGTGTGAGGCTCCTGCCAAAGTTGAAAATCATTAAGAACCATGATTTTGGCTGAACACACAGCTCTGTTTTGAACTCTTTTATGTCGGTATTATTGCTCATTCACTTAAAGAGAAATACATGAGGCAGAGACAAGATCTCTTTCCCTTTCCCTTTTCATGTTTCTCCAATTTATCATCCTTGACATAATAAATTTCTCAAGCCAAAGAGTTGAGTGTTGTCTTGTTTCTCTCTGTTTTTTCCATTATCTCAGTTATCTCTCATTTATTTTTTAAGTCTTTTCTCTTATCGCAACAGTTTCTCAGGACACCATAAAGTTGGAATGAGTAACCTCCTACCCTTCTGTGCTTGCTTACAGATATTTCAGGCCCCACACTCTCAATCACAGGGCTTTGTTATTTTGGCATGTTGGGAAAGAAAAAGAAGTCCAAGGTACACCTCAACTAGAACTGACGGCACAACTGTAGACTACTTTTGAAATATAGAAATTCCTCTTTGTATGAAACTTTCTCAAGCAGGAAAATGATTTTAAGGAAAGCCTGCTTATGTGCTCTTGTTTATTCTGAACAATTGAGGGAGTTCAGCCAGTTATGGTCTGTGGGATATATTACAAATATCACTGCATAAGGAGTTTTGGCCCCAAAACCTAATATTTCTTTTAAGGCCAATCTAAAGAGTTTCTTATTTGGGGAATTTCAAAAATGTAGTTGTATCCCTAAGTATAGAAACTATAGAATAATGAAACTCCATGTACCTATAAGTCAACACACAGCTAATCTTAGGTCTACTATACCCACCTCCATCCATTTCTTTTCTCCGAATCAGATTTCCTTTGACTAATCCCAGACATCATATAATTTCTTCTGCAAAGATGCCTAGGTATCTCTAAGAGATAAAGCATGTACATTTTAGAAATGTAACCACATCATCACTATTATACCTATGAAACTTATAATTCCAGATATCAAACATTTAGTCAGTGTTCAAATTTCTCTGACCATCTCATAATATTTTTAATATTTGTTTTGCTCAAAATAGGGTCCAAACACTGTATATCTAGCACAACTCTTGACATGAGTTTCATCATTTCACAATAAGAACGTTAGATGATCATTTGTTTTCAGCATAATCACTTTGAAACATACTTTTCCAAATTAAATAAAGTACACAAACCAATTTTTAAAGTTTTCACACATATATTTAGCCAGAAACAAGATTATTGTTTTGATAATAAAATGATATTGTGTGTATTTCTTTTATTTTCCTTGTAACATTCTTTGAAATCTATGCCCATTGATCCATTTTAACTTGTACCTAGAATTTCACCTCATGAATAGACTGTATTTCATCATATTTACTGTTAATAGACATTTATTTTGTTTCTAATTCTTCACAGAACAGTGTTATAATGGACATCCTTATAAACATGACCCTATGTGTGTATGTGAGCTTCTTTAGGACATATACCTATGTATACCCACGCCCAGATGAATAACGTTTTTAACTATTGCTAAACTGATTGTCTCTGTACTGTACATCCACCACAATAGATGAGAATTCAACAAGATGATCTTCAAGGTTCCTTGCAGCTTTGATTCAATGAGTCAATGCCCTAAGCCTATTTTTTATAAATGGTTGCATCCTTAGTAATATGAATGATGGAGACATATGGTACTGATTTCAACATTTCTAATAATGTCTTACATTATTGCTTAATAGCTCTGTCTCCTAAAAAAAAATATATCAGGTTTCATTTTGCAAGACCCTGAGCTAATAACTCAAGCTAAATCACAAAGGACCATGTACTATCTGGACTTAAACTTGAAGAACTAGAATAGGTGCCTAAAAATGTAAATAATAATTCAAGGTTGGTTGACAGCAAGCCATCAGTGGGGTCCAGATATGCCATCCATCTGTAGGAAGGAAGAGATCACTGGAGCCTGTTTTAGAAGGCTTTATAAAGGAAATCAAGAGTGAAGGCTAACAGGATGAAGGGGGAAAGGAAGCAGGAAAGGCAAAGAAACAAAAGCAGCATTAAGTGGTTTTCTCAGACTACAACATATAGTTTGCAGTCTCCAGGATATGGGATTCACATGGAAGACTGGGGAGAAATGAGGCTACGGAGGCTAAAGAGTCTACGGAGAGCTCTGCATGTCCCACCAAGGAAATCATCCTTTTTTCATCCAGTCACTGTTTGTCATCACAGATGCTACATAAGTTGTCATGGGAGACTCAGTCCACTCTCAGGGGCCACACCAAAGTCTCATTTATGGTCCATGAAAGCTGTACTGTTCCTCAATTTGAATTTGCTTTTGAAAAAAAGTGTCCTTTAAGATGACCTTTTGATTCTTTCCACTACCACCTACTGTAAAATGAGATCTAGGAACTTAGTTACTAATGTAGAAAATAGACCATCTTTTATTACTCCTAAATTTATCTGATCCAGTTTCAAAGGAAGTCGCCCAGCTCTGTAATTAGGGTTTACTGAGTACATCTCTGTAAACCCTTCCAACCTAGTCACCCCCACAGAGGATTTAGAAGATCTTGATTATGACACTTGAGTCCTCTCCTTTACAGACCAAAACTTCCAGTTATTTCAGTTTAATACAACCATTATTAACTGAGCACCAACTGTGAATCAAGCTCTCCTTGAAGCACCAAGAGCCCAGAGGTGCATGTATTACATTCCCTGCCCCTGATGAGTAGCTAGTCCAGCAAGAAGGGTAATGCAGTGGGAAATATGAAATGACCAAAAGCCTCTAAAGGAAACAGAAAGTGTATATTGGAAGGAATCTGATATTACCTGTTTTCCTGTAAATGTCCCATCATTCCAACAGTCATTTGTTGCCTAGTCTAAGCCTAGGGCTCTGCTGTCCTAAGATATCATGAGCCTTAAGTCTGCAGCAGACATTCCAGGCCATATCGATGATATGAAGAATCTAAATCAACTGCCTGCAACCCTTCTCTAACACCATAAATCAAAGATGCAGTTCAGGGACCTCTAGCCTGATGCTGATCTCTGAATGTTGGTTAAGGCCACAAGTTTTCAACAACTCTTTTATCTGTGGCCTCAGAAGGGTAGTCTGTAGAACAGACCAGGCTGCTCAAGCAGAAAGGGTCAGAAGTCATAGGTCCCCCATTCCACCCTTGGTCTTGCTTATGTTTTATGGCATTGTTTGGAAAGGACAATGAAGGAGGCAATGAAATCTCCCTTAAGGTCTTCAGTTTGCACTGAGTCAAGAAGGAAACAGTCTGCTTCGTCCATGTAAGAGAAATGAAATGCATAATTACAGGTTCTCATCACCCATGAGCTTGCTGCTAGTTATCAGGGCCCAAACAGATGCCCTCCAGGGTTTCTGAGCCCTTGGAGAGGCCTGGTTGCTATGCTTTCTGGGAGGAACAGTTCAGACAAGAAGCTAAAAGGCCCCATTAACCTAAGCACAATAACAATGACACTTTCAATTAGCCAGAGGCTGTCAGGTTTAGCCATTTACATTGCATAAATCCTCTTTTCCTGACTGTGTTTGAGTTACTTTCTTCCAGCACAGATGGAGAAAGTGATTTTTTTTTCTCTCTTGGAGGAAGCTTTCCCAGACGAACCACATCCAACACTAATCACTCTTTTGTTTTAAGAGCAAAGTCTATATTAGACTTGGCTTACAATTATCTCTGAGCTTCTATAATTGGACAATTTAGCTACATTATAAGGTATTTGAGAGCAGAGACATTTCCTATTTCTAGGTCATTGCAGGATTCCATAATTGATGGCTCTGTTCACACCTGCAGGCTGATAAACACTTGCTGAATGTAACTGTCAGAATAGACTAGGTTATGCTGCTGTGACAAGAAATTCCCAGATCTGAGCAGCCCATCATGACAAACACCACCATCTGTGGATCTGAGTGACTCTCCAGGGCAGGTGTCTAGTAACCCAGTCACTCTTGTGTTGTCACTACCCCACTGCAAGACACAAAATGTCTTCTGGGATGACCTCTTAGAAATAAGGTATCTGAAAAGTTGCATAGGGGCTCTTCATACCTCAGCCCAGAAAACCCGATATTGGTGATTGCATGTAGTATCTACTATACTAATACATTTCCTCTCTAATACAGCTTCCAGGTAAATGCAACTCTGTCCTTAGACAGAATAAGCCACTGATGATCCCTCCTCTTAGGTAATGAAGCACCTCTTCTGATAGCCCTTAGGGAGAAGAGGTGAGAGATTTCAGACACATCCATCCCATCCTAGGCTTCAAGTTAGTGCTGACAAACTACCTCACAGAGACACAGCCCTCAAACATGAGTTCATGAATCTCTGGAACATCAAGTCCACGTTCTTTTAAGATCATCAAAGACTTTGACCTGGTAATCTCTATCAAAGGTAATTTATTTCCTCATTTTTTTCTTTTGACTTAGCTTTTCTCATGCACTTAACAAAATGTTATTCAGCAGAGACTTCCAATTGTTACTCAGTATCTATTCTCCCATTCTTCTCTAGAAACAGAACTCAGGTTTTAGGCAGGAACATACAACTAGATATAGCCATGTTACTAAGTTCTGGCAAGTGTACTCAGAGCAGAAGAGTTTTAGGCAGTGCCCTTACAGGAATGAACATGCTCTCTCCTTTTCCAATTTTTGCTGATGGGAATACAGCTATAGTGAAGTGAGTCTCTTTACCACAAAAAGTACAAGTATGGTACATGAATGAGCTAGAAGGAATTCGGTTCCTGACAGTGGAGCCTCTGCATTCGTCTTACCTTGCTATGTCTGGAGCATGACATGAGAGAGAAAAGGGGTACTATCTTAGTGATGCTGAATATATTTATCCTAATTAATCCAGTGTATCAAAAATGTTCAGATACCAGGAACTTTAAGACAAAAAAATAGGCTTGATCATAAAGGCAGATCCCTAAGCCTTCAGAAAGGACAGTATTGGTACAAATTACATTCCTAGGAATTCTCCAGGCAACCTAAGATGATACCTACTCCCTACAGCATGTGAGACTTTGGGATATAGGAAAGCTTCATGGGACTCTTTACCCCTATTCCCTTAAAGACTCATTAAAAAGGACTGCCTCCCTCAATGTGAGCCATTTCTTTATATTGCTTATGTAGGAAGACACAGAGGTTGACTATGATATTGTTTGGTCCAGAGATTCTAACTGCCATTCTGGGTCCTGTATATATCAGACTTATTTTCCAATTCCAAATGGGGACATGCTCCTCTGACACAGGTCTGACATGAAGTTTGACAACAGAACAGAATACCTGACATTAGGACTGTCAAACATATATTTACCTTAGAAAACTTATCCGTTTGTTCTTTGCTACATAAGTATTAAAGTGGCTGCACCCAGCAGAAGTCAGGATCAAGCATCAAGCAAAGAGAGACACAGTCAAATCCATTGGTTAAGAAAGGCAAGAGGTTATAACCAGGGAAAACTGAAGGCAAACGGAGCAGGTACAACAGATCTGATGGAGGGCATGTCTAAGACAAGAAGAGCAAATATGTCATATCTCTGCCACCAATCTTCCTTTTCATGTGGGTGTCAGGCATCATTCATCAGTCACAGTAGCAGCAGAGGAACCTCATACTTCTGAACACAACAGCCCATGTAGTCACCTCCAGATATTTGATGTTGGCACACAAGTTAAGACCTATGCCAGCTAGCCAACCCTCATCAGTAGTGATTCTAGTGAATGGGAGTAATTACAGGTTCCTATTCTTTACCCCATTCAGTGACTATTCTGGGTATAGGCAGCACTGAATCTCTGCGGCCAGAATTGGGTCCGTAGACTACACTCCTGATGAAAAGGATACCACTGTTCCTGGGACCTCCATTACAATGAGGAGCTTACTTAATGATTTAAACTTAGATTATTAGAATTAGATAGCATTAACTTCATCTGATGAATGTTAGGTTAAAAAGTGAACAGTATACAATCTTTTTAAAATCATTAAGATTTTAACCAGACAAGAATGCCTACTCTCTAGTCTTTTCAGCATATAGTGCTACGACAACTGGATATTTAGATGCAAAAGAATGAATGTGTCCTCATATACAAAAAATAATTAAAAATGAATCAAAGACCTAAATGTAAGAGCTAAAACTAGAAAATTTTTAGAATGACATAGAAGTCTAGGTCTTCATGACCTTGGATTAGACAATGATTTCCTAGATATGACATCAAAAGCAAATCAAAGAAAATTTTGATAAACCGGACTCCACCAAAATAAAAAATTTTGTGCAAAAGATACACCTAAGAAAGTGAAAATATAACCTATAGAATGGGAGAAGCTATTTGGGAATTATCTATCTCATAAGGGCTTAATATCCAGATTATGTAAAGAATTCTTATAACTCAATAATAAAAAGACAAATAACTCAATTAAATTAAAAAGCGGGCAAAGGATCTGAACAGAATATAAAATGGTACTGTCTCTGTGGAAAATAGTTCAGTGGTTCCTAAAAAAATTAAACAGAGTTAAACATATGATCCGGAAATTTCACTCTTAAGTATATGCCCAAGAAAACTGAAAACATATCCACACAAAACAACCCAAATGTCCAGCACTGGTGAGTGAACAACTATGGCATATCCATGCAATGGAATATTAGCCATAAAAAGGAATAAACTCCTACTGCATGATAAAACATGGATGAACCACTGAAAACTTTGGTTGAGAACATTATACTAAGTGAAATAAACTAGACACAAAAGACCAAATATTTATATGAAATGTCCAGATAGGCATATACTGTCTATAAACACAGAAAGTAGATTAGTGTTTGCCAGGAGCTGGCAGGAAGGAATGTGGAGTGACTTATGGGTACAAGGTTTCTTACTGGGGTGATAAAAATGTTCTAAAATTATATAGTGATGATGGCTTGCATAAGTCTATGAATATACCAAATATCATCAAATTGTATACTTTAAAAAATAGAGATATATGCTATGTTTATAAATAGGAAGATTCAATTCTTCCCAGTTTGTTCTATACATTAAATGTAGTCCCACTGAAAACCCCAATAGGATTTTTACTGAAACACAAATTGATTCTGAATTTTACATGAAAGACCAAAAAGCCAGGCAAAGTCAAGTAACTCTTCAAGAAGAATATATGGGAATTTTCCTTAACATATGTAAAGACTTATTATAAAGCTATCATAATTAAGAGTGCATGGATTTGGTTCAGCAACAGAAAACAAACCAATTAAACGAATACAGAAATCAGAAATAGACCCACTGATAGACAGAAATTGCAGATACCTCACAGAAGGCACCACAGCCCAGTGGTGAAGAAAAGAACCATTTGATATATGTCGGAGACAAGTAATTGTCTACTTGGAAAAATGACATATAGGTAAGGGCAGGAGATAGACATTCTAGAAGCAAAGCCACAGGGTTTGAGTCATTTCATCCAAAAGTCAAGTAAAGACTGCATCATCCTCCGGAACACTGTGAGAGGTTAGAACACAGAGCACCAGCTCAGGATGGTAATGAAGTCATGGCTGATTAGACAGAGCGTGAATGTTGGAGCCTTGGCCTGTGATTAAGGAAAGGCTGGCTGATTACCTTCCTGGAAAAAAATTATTTTCACCCATCCACTAATTTTTTCATTCATTCAGTCACATAATAAATACTTACTGGGCTCCTGGTACATGCCAGACACTATTCTAAGTGCTAAGTGCTAACAGATACAGAGGCTTATATTCTTCTAGTAGTCAAGCAGATAAGAAATGCATAAACAAATTAATAGAATTACTTCAAATGGTGACAAATGGCATGGAGAAAATAAAACTGGGGAATGGGAAAGAGGATGATTGGGGATGGTGTGAGCTCAGGGAATTAATTTAGAAGACGTGGTCAGGGAAAGCCTCTCTGAGAAGGTGAGAATAAGATTCTCCTGCCATTTTAACAAGCCAAAATAACTGTACCTAAAAAGTTGGCTCCACAAAACATCTTATAGCAAAGGAAAATATGAATCCATAGAAGGTACAGAAGCCATTCTGAGCCAATAACAAAGATCTGCAAACTGTGGGCCCCAACTCTGAAGCTGCTTACCCTGCTTGTACCAGGGTCTGGAGATGCCGGCTGGCCATCCACAGATGCCTGCAGAGCACCTGAACCCAGCTGCCTGGCTGAGGTTTAATGGAGCGCCTCAATTATCTGAGTGCTGGCATTGCTTCTCTGGACTCATAGCTAAACAAAACCTCCCCAGTTTCTCGGCCACAAGCTCTTAAAGGTTAAAATAAAACTGTGTCTCAGTGGATGCAGCATTTGGCACTTATCTAAGAATTTTAACGTCATTTTGCAGTTAATAATTAGCTCTGCCTTGGTCCTCACAAAGGGTGGCACCAAAACAAAAGCAGGCGTGAAGTGTGCTCGCTATAGTTGCCGCTGGTATAAATAGGCAAAGGGATGATTAATGAATGAGGGGGAATTAAACACCACAGTGAACAAAGACAAAGGCCCACAGCTCGGCTGTCCATGAACGAAGACAAGCTGTAGCCAGAGCGGCTGCAGAAAACAACACACAAAAAAAATTCATTTACCGGACAGGTTTTGAAGACTTCATTTGACCTTGCGTTATGACAGCCGTAGTGTTTTATTAACATTCTGATACATTAAGGGGCTGAGGTCAGTCGAGGCAGAAACACGTGTTGTTGGGGGAGTTGCCAGAGAGGGGAGGGTGGGCAGAGTTTTGTGTGGGTGACATAGGGAACACGGAGAGGCCCAAACAAGTTAAACATCACCCTGAAGGCTCCTTTGTGAGGGGAACCAGAGCTGACATTTTTAAAGAGTTGTTTGGATGTCAGACAAAGCAGATGAGGCACCAATACAAATGCCCCAGCTGAAGTCTTCTGACAAGGCCTGTCCACTTCAAAACGGCCACATTACAGGCTGGACCAGGACTGCGGCCCAGAGGGGAGAGAACTCTGCTTGAAGGCGCCTGTTACAGAGAGTTGGGAGGCTTGCGGCAGTGATGTGCAGGCTCGGGAAGGCGGAAGGTGTGCTGCTCTTAGCAGCCTTTACATGCATGTCTTTCCGTGAGTCCTCAGTGGAAACCATCCTTCAAGGATGCAGGGGTGGCCCCATGTTTGGCCTGTTTGATTTTGAGGGTCTGGGCAGAGATAAGCCACTGAGGCTAATCCCTAGAAAGCCCTGCTTGGCTTTCTGGGCACATCTCGACCACTCTCTGGGCACATTGTTTTCCCTCCTAGGGCTTCCCCACATCAGCCAGGTTCCCATTCCCACAGGCTCTGTTTCCAACCAAGTGTCTGTGAGGAAAGGCTATGATAAATGAATCTCTATGGAAGATTGAGGTGATAATGAGCTTAAAGGTTCTCTCCACTCCCTCCAGGAACATTGCATTTTAATAGAGGACTCTGATAGACCCAAAGTCCTCTCAGAACCACAGCAATGAAACAGTTATTGCGAAATTTTAGGCAGGCCAGAAGGGAGATACTTATTGAGTCTGATGAACATCCTGCTCTCCCTTCTGTCACACCATGCCTACACACCACACCATACAGACCTCGGCCAAAATCTGCAGGTTTTCGTGTCACTCGGGCATTAGAAAGACCACATGAGAAAATGCATGTCAAATTCTTTAAAGATAAACACCCGCATCAATGTGGTAGCTATAATCTATTGAACAATGAAAACTCAGACCAGAACACACTCTTAGTGATCAATACCCGCAATTAACAGATGAGAAAATGGAAAGACTGAAAAATGATGTCTTTATCTGAGTCACTCATCAGTGAGGAGCAGGACCAGATGCAGAGTCTCCTGTTTCAAAACCAAGACTTTTTCTATTGCATTATAAGAAAGACTTTATTCAGTCTTCAGAGCACATTCTAATCACATCTTGACTGTTAAATTACGAATGGCCTTTTTTAAAAACTTTTATACACACACACGCACACACACACACACAGAGCTTTAAAGTGAGCTACCATGCAAAAGAAATTTAGATGTCAGTTCTGTGAAAGTCACCTAAGTATTCAGGGAAATACAAATCAAGACTCTAGGGGATACCGCTGTGCACCCACTTAATCGTTAAGAAGAAGTCTGACAATAGAAAAGTGTTGGAGAAGATGAGAATCCACAGAACCTTTCCTATCTTTACTGGTGAAGTGTTAAACTGGAACAACTGTCCAGAAAACATATTGGAATTTTCTAGTGAAGTTGAAGGTGTGCATATCTAAAGATCCAGCAGCATTCCAAGAGAAACTCTAGTTCATGTGCACCAGGAGATTCATGTACAGCTGTTTAAAATAATGCAATAATTCTGGAAACAGCACAACATCCTTCTTCAGGAGAACAAACCATCAGCATTTAATATGACAGAATATTATACAGTATTGAAAACAAATGAAGTGCAGTTACAAGCATCAACATAAGAGAAGCTTTTTAACATAATATTGAGTTAAAAAAGCAAATCCCAGAAGGAAACATCCAGCATGACATCCTTTTTAAAGAAAAATGTAAAATAGCCAAAACTAAGAAACCTATTATTTAGGTACATAAATGTGTGTGCACCAAAAATCTTTTAAAAATGGCAGGGCATATTAAACACAAAATTCAAGGTAATGTTTACCTTGAAGAGGAATACATAGAAAAACGCAGGTTAGTACACTCTAGCTCTCGGGTTGCTTTATTCATCTCGTTACTAAAATACATAAATGCACAGATATAATTAAAAATGCAATGCCCAGACCAATTGATGATGGTGTATCATAAACCAAAAATTATGATTAACTCAATTCAGTGACCTGAAATCCATTAAAAAAAAATAAAATCTACATTGGGAGAACACTAACTCCTTAAACAGAAAAGGATGTCTACCAGTATTGACTACTGCTAAGTCAAAAACTTCTACCAGCTGAAGATAATGGACAAGCCATAATTAGAGACAATATGAGGAGCTGAAGTAACAGTTTTTCCTGAAACCTGCCCAATGGGGGAAGTGTTATGACTCAAAAGTAAAATCTAGGTAAGGGAATAACATGCAAGTGAACTGATAATTCAAACCAGAGATCCGGTAGAAGTTAGGACAAAGGCACTAAAATTCTGGGCAAAGAAATAGGTAAAAACTGAGATAGAAATGAACCAGGAGGAGAGAAACACTGAATACAAGTTGGTGGTCAGAAGTGGAAACCAAAGGGGCAGGTATGACTGTGTTTTGCAAGTCTTCCAAGGAATGGCACACTGGAGCTGATGGAGCACACCGGCTGGATATAGGTCCGACCTCCGAGAGATTCGAGACATGACTGTGATCTCCAGCCCAGGTCACCTTTCTAATTTAATCAGGTCTCATTAACTGGAACAAAACTAATTTAGAATAGCTGCAATGATCAGGCCAGAATGAAATTGATCTTCCAACTATGAAAATAGTGTTTACTCAACAAATTAATAGCATGAGACACATCAAGTAGAGAATACTTAACCTATTTAGGAATACAAACTTGGCATACATATCTATATTCATTTGTTTTATAACAATTAGTATGTTATTTACTGATGATCTTTAGTCATTGAAAGAGGTCCCGAACCTAGGGCCACTGCATCTGCCACTAGTTGGCATTACTCATGTTTTGAAAATAATAGTTTTTGTAAGTCATTGCTGCCAAATGGGTGGGTTGGCTCATATTGGAACAGACCTTAAACCCAAACCCACATCTATGAAAGAGTCCTCTGTTTTCTGGAAGATGACCCAAACAGAATCAGAAGACGGATTTCAGTCATCCCACTTTCCAAGTGATATTTGAACTGGAGGGAACCTCCATCCCCAAAGAGTACTGTCCCTCCTCAACACTCCCGGAGACAGATTTTAAAGCCTCTGTCTGTTCTCCAGGACCTGGTCTAACAAACTGCTAACCTGCTTTTTCAACTCTGTAACTCTCAGAAGGATAATGCCTGCAATCTCAGTCTGACAGAAGTCAGGTATGCTTGGGTCCCTTAGGTGTGTGTACACCTCTGTACTAAGAAAACACTCACAACTCTGAGGCCAGTTCAGGAAAACCTGAAGACTCAAGCTCGGCATCAGTACCAAGTTTTGGAAGTGCAGTTAGAGAAACTGAACCACTTGAGGAGGTCAAAAAAAAAAAATGTTTAAAGTAGGAAAGGGAGGGTCAGAAGGAATATACAATGCTTTAATAAGAACGAGGCAAACCACAGCTTAACACATAGCAACACAATCTGATTGGAACATATTGCACTGTGAATGACTGATAAGTTCCTATTGAAAGATGTCGAAAGGATGGCTACCAAATCAAGAAATCAGTTTATGCAGAATATTTGAACCTATAGTGCATGAGTGAAAAGGAAGGTGGTAAATTAAATGGATTCATAAAAAAATAAATAAGTTAAATATTAGTAGAATAATATGCAAAAACCATTTTTAGCTAAATCTGATTTCATTGAAATATTAATATGATAAATGAGATGAGTCTTCCAAGACAATTTGATTCATCTCTAAGAACATCATTCAGGATTTTTCTTTTTAAATTTTCTAACTACTCCATTATTGCAGTGCTTGCCAAAAAAAATAAAAAGAAAAAGGAAAAAATATTTCCAGTCCTTTTAGCAAATGTACACTAGAGTGAGTTTAATTGCTCTGAAGTCTAACGTTCTCTTTCTTTGAAATGATTCAGGAAGGAAGGCACAAAGCTTTTTTCTAATTTGGCAGCAAAAGGATACTGAATGTTTATCTCTGCTTGTTTTTTGGAGGTGCAGATGAACACACCAAACTGAAGGGCACTGGAAAGATAAGTTTCCATGACATCCACAATAACTCTTTTATATTGCCAACTGGCTATTCAATATGTAGCATTCAGAGGCAAATATAAAAAAAATGATGTAAAGCCAAAATTATTTCCTTGATAACACTTGTTTTAAACACCTCATCACTAAATAGCTAAAAGTCTCCAAAGTGAATGCATAAACCATATAAAAGCCACAAGCATACATACATAAATTCTTAAGATTAAAGTAATAACTTCTAGAAAAAGGTGGGAGAAAACACACTACAATAAATCTATTTGTAATGGTATTTGGGCTCTACCAACTGCTTTCATTGGTCTCCAGTGGCTTACATATAAAACAATACATTTGATGTATGATTTCAATTCCTTATGGAAAACTGTTCTATCTACAAGCAGCCTGTCAAAGGGAATGCCAAAAAAACTCTTTCCACGTCCCAATATGAGGCAGGACTTT